CGAGCAGACGAAAGAACAGCGCAGGGTCCTGTGTCGTTCCTCCACGAAGAGGGGGAGCGACAAGTACTAATGCTACTAAAGGCTGAAAACAGATTACCCCTCCCCCCTCCCGTGGGGGATATTAAGTTAATTGCTCCAGCCATTTCCAAAGCAAGGAAACATTTGGATTTATTTTTTAGTTAGTAAAAAAGCTATGCCCCCGCCGGCGCTATGGCTCACTAGGCTAATCCTCTGCCTGCGGCACCAGAACCCCGGGTTCTAGTCACATTTGGGGTGCCAGTTCTGTTCCAGTTGCTCCTCTTCCAGTCCAGCTCTCTGCTATGGCCCGGGAAGGCAGTGGAGCATGGCCCAGGTGCTTGGGCCCTGCACCTGCGCGGGAGACCAAGTAGAAGTGCCTGGCTCCTGGCTTCAGATTGGCTCAGTGCGCCGGCCATAGTGGCCATTTGGGGGGTGAACCAACAGAAAGAAGACTTTTCTCTCTGTCTCTCTCTCTCTCACTGTCTAACTCTACCTCTCAAAAAAAAAAAAAAAAAGCTATGCCCCTCCTTGTCATAATTTATACTTCCTACTGTAATGGAAACATTGATTCTGGATTGGCAGTGTTCTCAAGCAAAGGCAAATTTATTACATTTCAGTCAATACATTTTCCTGGACTTGCACTGGAATTTTCTTTTCTTTTTCTTTTCTTTTTTCTTTCTTTCTTTTTTTTTTTTTTTTTTTTTTTTTTTTTTACGCCACGCCAGAGTGGACAGTGAGAGAGAGAGACAGAGGAGAAAGGTCTTCCTTTGCCGTTGGTTCACCCTCCAATGGCCGCCACGGCTGGCGCGCTGCGGCTAGCGCACCGCGCTGATCCGATGGCAGGAGCCAAGTGCTTTTCCTGGTCTCCCATGGGGTGCAGGGCCCAAGCACTTGGGCCATCCTCCACTGCACTCCCTGGCCACAGCAGAGAGCTGGCCTGGAAGAGGGGCAATCGGGACAGAATCCGGCACCCCGACCAGGACTAGAACCTGTGTGCCGGCGCCGCAAGGTGGAGGATTAGCCTAGTGAGCCGCGGCATTGGCACGCTTCAATCCTTATGAGCCTTATAATGAAATGCATCATACTGAGCTACAAAGACCTGGTTTTCAGCTATGCCTGCATATTCAAGATGCAGACACAGAATGCTCAATCTGCTTGATCAATCAGCTGACCAGGAACTAGTCTAGTTATTTTATTCAGCTAGATGAAGCAAACTTGCCAACATTTTCATATTAAATGTTTAAATGGAGCTATTTATTATTATATCTCAAAAAACTTCCAGGTATTTTCACATTAAAGGGAGAAAGTACCTTATCAGGAACCTAGATAGGTTTCGAGTCGTGTGTTTTTAAACTTTATTATTATTTTCTTGTACATTGTCACTGAAAGAAAGTATTGAATAATGAAATAAAACCAAACAAAACTGCAGAAATGCCCCCAACAAGCTCTCACTTCAGGTTTAGCTGTGCCCTGCCTGGTTCTCATTTTCTGATATGATCAGTTCTATTACTCACACAATGGTAGCATTCTCTCCCATACAGTTACATGGAAACCAGAGCACCAACTGAGGGATGCAAGAATTGCAGGGTGCTCTATGCCTCCTGTGTACAGGTGGGATCGAAATAAAACACAGCTTTTAGTCCATTCATTCCACAGAGACACACTTCTTCCTCTCTACCCGGAGGCTACTCTGGCTTTAGATATTGCCTTCTTCCTTCTTCTTTCTAACCCCATTTCCAGACCCTGGGATTTCACAAGTGACAGGGAATCTATTTCCACTGTAATGTCTTTCACATGAAAATTAGCAATAAATAAATAAATAAAAAAGGCAAAGCAAAGGATGCTTTCGATGGCTGATAATCCCACTGGGTGCTTTACTGGATACTAGATATTATTTTCTTAGCTCAATTAATCTCATTCACCTCAAGAATTTTAATTAACTTTACTAAAGTCAAGGCAGATTGTACATGTTTAGCAGGATTGTTTGGAGACATACAGTAAGAATTAAAACTCAGTTGTTAAGTCGCCAGTCCCATTAAGAGTACAAAAAGTAATTAACAATATCTGTGTATGTGTGTGTGTGTGTGTGTGAGAGAACAGCTGTGCAACTGATGTTTCTGTATCAGTAAAATGCAGCAAAACTGGAAGTTAGTCACTGTAAAAATATTTTAAATCACATTTATGTACATTTTCAAATAAATGCATGTTAATTTATGAATTATGGTTTAAACTGCAAACTACTAGCCCTGTGGGATTTCTTTTCTTTTTCTGCCACAAAACATCTTTAAGTTAACATTTGGGTAAACTGATGTGTTCAGAGACATTCACGAATTCAAAGTAATTGTGAAATATGAGAGGAAATAGGGCTATTTTAACACATAACTCAATTTTTCCTGTCCAAGTATCCCTTTAAAGTGTCACAATAATTTATTCAGAGGTGTCAGTCTCAATCCTAATGCCTCTTTGCTAAGAAATAAACAAATTTCATTTCTGTCAACTGGATTTTTCCCACAATATTCAGAGCGGAAAAATTCTAAGGACAGAATATTAGATTTCAGACATGCTAATGTTCCCATCATTATAAAGAAAAAAAAAGTTTTCTTGCCTTTTATGTTGAGTTTAATCCAACATCCGTACCTAAGGAAAGTTTATATTAAGCCTGTTTCATGCTATACTTAGATAGTTGGAAACTTAAGTCATAAAAATAAACATCATCAAGGTCTCAATGCATTTCAGATAAAAGAAGTTCTCATGGATGCATAATAACTTTATAAGGATTTTTAAGATTTCATGATGACCTCTTTGCACTCAATTATCAACTCGAACCAAGTGATAGAAAAGTGATTACTGTCCAAATTTGTCCATGACTCAATTTATCCATTGATCCAATCAACTCATGTGTTGCTATGACCACAACACAAGGTGAAATAAGAATAAGACATAAGAAGATCTTCCTAAAAGCATCACAAGCAAGGTAGAGTTAGATGCTAGAGGAGAAATATTTAAGAGTTTGTGAGAGCAGGTCATGTATTTGTGACTTGCTCATTACTCTTCACAACTGTCCCCTTAGTAAAAATTTATTGTAGTAGATAAAACATTTTTTTTGTTGAAACAAGGGATAAATATAAGCTTCTCTTGATTTTCCACTTTTCATATTCAATCTTTGTCACATATGTTCAGTTCATTCATACGTTCCAGATATATTTACAGGAAACAAACAGTATGCGAGAAACTGTGAGGCTGGCGCTGCGGTGCAGCGGGTTAAAGCCCTGGCCTGAAACGCCAGCCTCCCATATGGGCGCCAGTTCTAGTCCCGGCTGCTCCTCTTTTGATCCAGCTCTCTACTATGGCTCGAGATAGCAGTGGAAGATGGCCCAAGTCCTTGGGCCCCTGCACCCACATGGGAGACCCAGAAGAAGCTCCTGGCTTCTGGCTATGGGTTGGTGCAGCTCTGGCTGTTGCAGCCATCTAGGGAGTGAACCAGCAGATGGAAGACCTCTCTCTCTGTCTCTACCTCTCTCTGTAACTCTATCTTTCAAATAAATAAATAAACCTTAAAAAAAAAAAACAGTATGCCAGACACTGTGCTAAAGGTTGGGGTTTTGACAGTCAATAACACCTGGGCTCAGAGATATGAAAGCCACACGAAGAGATAGAATGAAGCAAAGTGTCCCTGGCCATGCTTCACTTCTAAGTCATAGTTATCTTCATGTGTATGTGCTGAACCATCTGCTCATCAGACACTGCAATGCTTCTGGCATAAGCAGTGCATTTTCATTAACTGAGCTTCTGCATCTTCCTTAACACACAGCTTAAAAGGCCTCCACGGCAGTGTAGAAGAACCCCAGAACACTGCACTAGGATGTCATACGTGAAATTATATAAGCATAAGAATTCTCTATGACAGAAACACAAATTGGATTAACTGAGGCAGATGAGCAAGCAAATCCATTTGCCTGTGTCACCAGAAAGAGCCAGACTTTATTTAAGCGTCATGGGACTAGGGCCTGATGCTTCCATCATTTGTTCTGCCTCTGTTTCTTTCTCAGCACCCTTTTCACTTTCACATCCTGCTTCTTCCACCAAGCCTGGCTCTGGTTCTGAAAATGCTCAGTTCCTATGCTTAGAGCAGAAAGGAGAGAGCACTTTGTTTCCCTCGCTTTTAAATTTTGGGGGAATACTGTTTAGCTTTTGGGAACAGATCAAAGCATTCACCAGCTCATCCTGAGAATCTATCACCCCTTTGATGGGGCTGAGATCTCTAAATGTGGCCACTGAGCAATCTCCGTATACTGAAAAAGACCCTATATTTTCTTCTTCGTGAGCCTTCCCTCATGGACGCAAGGAACAGTCATGTCTACTATTTGGTATAGAGCTGAAACTCTTATTGCTGACCTCTTTCTCCTGCATCACTTGCAATTGTTCTTAACACTTTTTTGCTCTTGTGTAATAGTCCCAGTCCAAATTTCCCTATAGCCTTTTGAATAATTCACATCTCTACATACAGAGTATGTCATGCATCAGATTATAACCCACATGAGGATACAAAGTAGTTTATCAAAATGGCTAGACAATCATCTGGAAATATGTGCGAAGTCAAAAGAGTAAGACACAGCCTTATCCAACTGCAGTAGCCACCTTCATGTTGACCTAGTCCCTATGTGATGTGAGAAGAGTCAAAACTTCAAGATCAGCTCTAGAAAACTTATCTGACTATTCAGATCCAATAGTTTTGGACATAATTTATTTTTATCCATTAGTTAATATACATATTATAACTGTATTAGTACTATGCATTGTAACTATGATGATCTTTGTTTGAGGTATAGGTTTTAGTCTTTAAGAGCATATTACAAAAATCACAAAACCATCATTCTACTGTAGCACAGAGCTAGGCATACTTGTTGCCTGATAAATGCTTTCAAATAAACTTTTCCACTATGCAATAATCACAAGCACTTTGAGTAACAGAGTGATAATACCTTTTGTTCATCACTTGTCCAACATGACTCTTGACACAGAAGACCTTCCGCATCTGAATGCCCACACCACACGTAGCTTCTCCATTCCAGCCAATGGTTGCATTCAGGGCAGTTACCAATGTGTTTTCAGAACAAGGGCCCCAGGGCATTGTCTCCCAGTAAAGTTGCATACAGGAATGGTCATGGCATAAACGATGTTCTTGGAGGGCTTGACTAGGAGGGCATGGTTTTCCACCTGCAAAATCAGATTAAAAGAGAATACACTGCTGTTGCTGTTATTACTGCTTTTGCTGTTTCTGCAACAGTCTAAAAAGACAGTCATGTTGACACAGCCTTACAAAAGCCTGAGCCTCCACATTCTCACTCTGAGGACAGGGAATTTTGTCCAGAGGAAAAAAATCTGAGGACTACATATTGCAATCTTCTAAATAACAGCCATTCATCCATCTCAATTAGACCATAAAATTAATTGGCTCTACTGTGCACCTCTAGGACAGGTATCTATGGGACAAATTCCAGAGAAATTTGCTTTTCTTTAATACTACTCACCATACATGAAATAATCCATTAGAATAGCTCATGACCTTGAAATGGTTTTATGTTAAGCATAGATGCATACACACACATACACACCCTAGACATAGTCTCCCTTTCTTAAGAGTGGCATTGTTTTTCTTAGAAAGCCATACTATGATAGCTATCCTCTAGCAAGCATGCATTTTACTGCAATTTGAGAAACCTAGAAATATCTGTGAAAGTTTGGCAGAAGAGAGCACATCCTTAAATTCTGAAATCACATTTGACAATGTACTATCCACTGGCAGGGAGACCAGAGAGATGTGCATCCTTACACTCTCGGGAAAGTCAGACAATCAAATTTCATTACTGTCTTCTCGTTCACATTTTTATATCCATGTAATAAGTGGTATGCATCTGAAGTATTGATCCTTTCCTACTCTGCCACACTGTAATGTTTTATTCAGTGGGCTAAATGCCTAAGATTTGTGTCTTTGGTTTTATTATTCTTGTTTTCTTTTTCACATTAAGAACTACTGTCATTTTTTTTCCTCCCAAAAATGTAATAGATAAGAGAGGGCAGCACATGCGCTTTAAGAATATGAAAATCTTCATTTATCTTGAACCTGGCCCCATTTCTCAGGAGCACAAAACAGAATCTTGTTTTAGAAGGAGTTCCTCACAGCCAGTGACTGCTCTAAGCCACTGTTCAAACAGCGTTGGTAAAACGTAAAGCCAGAGGAGGGCATGACAGCACTGATGCCTGTGTCTGAGAATAAAGACCATCGTTACAAATGGTAGGAACAACTGCTCCTCTAATTTGTTCTGATGTCACTGTTCACATTCCCATGGCACTTTTTAGCTTTCTCAGTCATTTTCACAGCTTTCATGTTCTCTCTCTGCCCCCAGCATGTTAGCATGACAGAAAGAAAACCAGGGCATATGGCTTAGGTAGCTCACCAATGGTGGTCCCAGTGGAGACGCCATGTCTCCTGGTATCTAATTTGGATCTCATCTTATCAGAAGCATCCAATTATATTCCCAATCACACCATCTTTTGAAACTGGACGTATGTCAACCAAACTTTGTTTACTTGTACACGAAGTAGAATACAAAATTAAATCCAACTGATGGACATGGTCCATTCTAAATCATAGGCTAAATCATTTCATGCATATATGAACCCATAACTGAGGAACTACAGAATTAAAGAGGGAAAATGCAGGCCAGTGCCATGGCTCATTGGGCTAATCCTCCACCTAGCAGCGCTGGCACACGGGGTTCTAGTCCCAGTCAGGGCGCCAGATTCTTTCCCAGTTGCCCCTCTTCCAGGCCAGCTCTCTGCTGTGGCCCGGGAGTGCAGTGGAGGATGGCCCAAGTGCTTGGGCCCTGCACCCCATGGGAGACCAGGAGAAGCACCTGGCTCCTGCCTTCGGATCAGCGTGGTGTGCCGGCTGCAGTGCACCAGCCGTGGCGGCCATTGGAGGGTGAAGCAACGGCAAAAGGAAGACCTTTCTCTCTGTCTCTCTCTCTCACTGTCCACTCTGCCTGTCAAAAAAAAAAAAAAAAAGAGGGAAAATGTATGCATGGATATGTAGCTTCTAACCTCAAGATATCACATGCATACTACTATTTCTACGATACAAACTTCTCAAGACCTATTGGGAAACATAATAATGGAGTTACTAGAAAATAAAAAGGAATGCCTCTGTGTAACAATGTTACTACAAATACAGTTTTGTCAAACTTTATTTTATATTTTTGTTAAACAAATTGTTAAGAATGATATAATACTATACTTTCAGTCAAATCTGATTATTTTAAAATTTACTTTATATGAGTGAAATTGACATCTCTCCCTTTGATTACTGGTTATAGCCCTTGTCTATATTCCTGCTGAATCATGGTCTTTTTACTTGTTTACCTCTTTATGTAATGGAGCATTAAGCCTTTGACTATGATGTAAAATAAAAAATTTATATTAAGGAAATAAAAAAGAGAGATGAAACCCCTTCTGTTACTTACCCTCTCCAGCCAATGCCAGGATGGTTCTTGACCTCATCTGTTTCCCATCTGAGTTTTTATTTGAGCAAGACTGGGAACAGGATGACCACACTGTCCACTCACTCACCACACAGTCCATTCGGCAGGGAATGTTGCAAGTCATTCGCTCAGGAGGAGGGGGTACAGGGCAGAGACTCCCTGGAACATCTTCTCCTGCAATCAACCAGATCAAGACAGATGCTGAGTAATGCCTACTCCAGGCCAGCCCAAGGAACACTGTAGTTCATTGCATCCTCTATCATTTCAGTTGACTTCAGTCAAAATACTTCACCTCATATCTAAAGCAATAAGTTACAGAAGTGATGTTTTTCCCCAGTAATTCATAATATGTCAAGAAAAAAATGCCTAAAGATAATTTGGCATTTAGAAAGGCAGATACCATAGGAAAATGCCCATTTGTCATCCTTCATAGGAACAGCTCTGGCTTCTTCTAGGAATAATTTAGCCATGGATGGCTGGAGATAACTATGATTGACATGTTATTGACAACCATGTTGAATAAGTACATACTTTTCTTCAAAATGAAGGTCAGGCCTGAAAAACGAAAATCTATGTTGAGCAGTCTAGTCAATCTGATAAAGAAAAAATTTATCATTCTAATTTCTTATGGGTGCTTTCACTTCCAAATATTTAAAGTGTTGTTGGTCCTCTTTGTGCCTAATGGTAAGTAATTCAAAATCAAAATGGAAATTAACCTGTGGCTAAAATTATGTAATGCACTAACCCAGAAGTTAAAAGTCAATTTGAAGTTTGTCCTCATACATTTACTCTTCTCCCTCTGAATGACATACTGAACTGATAAGCCAAAAATAACTATACTAAAAAATATGCTACAGGAGCCTGCAATGTGGTGCAGCAGGTTAAGCTACCAGTTGCAATACCAGCATCCCATATCAGAGGGCCAATCCTAGTCCCAGCTGCTCTGGTCCCCAACCAGCTCCCTGCTAAAGTGCCTGCAAAAGCAGCCGACAATGGCCTGAGTACTTGTAGGAAACATGGATAAAGTTCCAGGCTCCTGGGTTCTACCTGGCCCAAGCCCAGGCAGTGTACCCATATGAGAGTGAACAAGTGGATGGAAGATACATCCCCCTCATCTCTCTCTCTCTCTCTCTCTTTTTCTTTCTCTCTGTATCACTCTGAACTTCAAATAAATCAATAAATATTTTTAAAAAGCAAAAGTGGTTAAAAACCATAGTACAACGACACACATCATCAAGGATTCCCAATTTCACTATTGATGCAATGTCTTTCTATTAATGCTATTTACGTCCCTCTGATATATCATAATACACATTGTTTCTGATGTTATAAGATAATCGGTGATAGTGTTTTATAATTAACAGCTACTAACAGCAGCATTTCTATGCTTTGTTTTCTGTATCTCAAAGGAACAAATGATTTCCAAAAACCTCTTCCAGATTACTTACTCACTACTATAATTTAAATATTTCTCTTCATAAGTAATAATTCAATTCTTGCTATTCTTCCTCTCACAGTCTTCTCATAAAAGCAGAGGACACAGAGAATAGAGACACCATTTATTGTTTGAAATAACAACATAAAACGTGCAATGGCAGCTATAAGAGAGAGGCTGTTTTGTCTGAGTGACTTTATGGCTTCGGAATTCTCCTGCCATGATCTGACACGAAAAATAACTGCAGAAGGGACTGGTGTTCACGGAGTATCTGCTTTGTGCCAGGAACTGTGTTTTGCACATATTACTCAGCTTAACCTGTGGCAGCTGTCATTCCTGTCATCTCACAGATAAGGAATCCGACACCTGCAGAGAAAAAGTCGCTCCTGGCCACACAGGCCTAAGCTGGCAATCAATGCAAACTGAGTCCAGAACTTCTGCTTTTACCACTGACCACAGGGTGTCTAATTCCAGGGAGATGGGGATTCTTTTTGTGAGAAAGTAAGTAAAAGTAGCCGACAGTGAGCAAGGCTGCCTGAAGGAGATGATAGTGTAGTGCTAATAACCACATTCATATTTGTAAATGAGGCCAGGCTCATTGCCCTTGAGGTACAAATAAAACTTTTCAAGCATATTATGAGAAGTAATAGAGATTCTAGCAGATAATCAAGCTGAAAGACTACTTCCAATCATTCTCTTTTCAGTCCCAATCTATTTTTAGTTCGTGCCCACACTCACTGTGCACACAAAGAAATACAGGCATATGCATGCACACACGTGCAAACACATAAACACACGGACACCTCACCAGAGCCAAGGGTTGGCCCTTTTTCAAGTCTAAACACAGGCAGCCCCCGCCCTGGTAATGATCAAACTACATCTAATCAAAATTGAATTTCCATATTTATGAATATTATTAGCATTATGTCTACACAAAATACTTTAAAGCAATGTCTTACAAAGAACATTTTGAGGAGTAAGAGATACCCATAAAAGTAGTAATGAAAAATAAAATCAGGGGAGAGTTGAAAACTATTGGGATAAAAAGAGACAGGAACTCCTAGGTCTCCCCAGTGGGTAAGAGGGCCATTGTCTGCTGTCTCCTGGGTATGAATTAGCAGGAAACTGGATCAGAGGCAGAAGTGGGACTTGATGCCAGACTCTCTGAAGTGGCAATCAGGCATTCCATGTAGTGTCTTAACTCTCTGTACCACAATACCTGCCCTTAAAAATTAAATTAAATTAATTAAATTAAATTTTGTAGGGTGCTATGCAATATTTCAACACATATTTACAATGCAAACTCCTCAATCAAGGTAATAAGCAAGTCCATTACTTTATATTTCTTTTATGTTGGGAATCTACCAGTTCCTGGCTTCTTTTTTTCGCACAGTATTTAATACATTATCATGAATGACGATTGTCCTGCTATACTGTGGAATCACAGATCCCAATTCTTCAGTCTGTGTTTGATGCCTTCATTCAGCACCCCACTATTGTCCCTCCCCACCCTTCCCAGCCTTTAGCAATCATTCATTCCATCATTTGTGAGGAGCACCTCGCCTTCAGCAATGGCTATTTCTATAAATATACTTTAAGTAAACCTTTTCCTAGAGAATGATAAAGGCATTAAGGACCATTAGATGAGCATGTACTGCTTGTACATCCAAGCTATACGGTGAGGTCAAATAGGTGAGGTTACCATTGTTTACCTCCCTGGAGTTCAGGATTCATAACAGAGATGAGACATGCATGGAAATAGAACCAAGTTTAGAAGTAAATGTCAAGTTGCCAAAGGGCGATTCAATCAGAAACTACTGCAGCAGTTCAGGGAAGAGGAGGATCTCTGGAGAAACAGCACAACCTTCAACACCAGCAAAGAGGAAAACTGAACGTTGGTGGCAGTGAGCAAGAGTACTTCAGACAATAAAAGTGTCAACAAAAGTGTAGAGGAGGCAAACACAAGGTATTTAGCAGACAGTTAATAATGAAGCTGCATCAAAAGAAGAACAATCGAAGGTTGTAAGAGTTACTTGAGGGGTCTGCGCTGTGGCATAGTGGGTAAGGCCGCCACTTGCATTGCTGGCATCCCATATGGGCGCCAGTACAAGTCCTGGCTGCTCCACTTCCAATCCAGCTCCCTGCTACGGCCTGGGAAAGTAATAGAAGATGGCCCAAGTCCTTGGGCCCCTGTACCCATGTGGGAGACCTGGAACAAACTCCTGGCTCCAGGCTTCGGATTGACGCAGCTCTGGACATTGCGGCCAACTGGGGAGTGAACCAGTGAATGGAAGACCTCTTTCTCTTATTCTCTCTCTCTCTCTCTCTCTCTCTCTCTCTCTCAGCCTTTCCTCTCTCTGTGTAACTCTGACTTTCAAATAAATCTTTTTAAACAAAGAGTTATTTGACATCAACTTCTGAGTGATCTAGACAAGACACAGATATTTTTTCCATATATTTCTCCCTTCCTTAATTTCTAGTTGCTCTGGCCTCCCCTGACCCAATTTAATATCTTCACCAGCCATCAAACATGCAGTGCCCTCAGTATTCAGTTCAGGTGCTTGAATCCTTTTTAAAACCTAAGCTTCCTATTAACTGAGATACGTACTTCCTCACTGCAGTTAAATGCCGATACTCCCATCAACGTTTTTGATAGCTTGTCTATACAGGCTAATACAGACTTGTGAGCAAACAGATCGGAATTTGTTTAAGGAAGTTAAACTAAGCCATAAGCAATCTCTGCAATTCTTGCATAAGCTATTATATAAGTATTCTTTTTAATAAGATTTATTTATTTATTTCAAAAGCAGAGGTACAAAGAGAGAAGAGAGGCAGAGAGATTTTCCATACACTGGCTCGCTCCCCAAATGGCTGCATGGCCAGGGCTGGGCTAGGCTGCAGTTAGGAGTCAGGAGTTACCTCTAGGACCCCCATGTGGGTGGCAGACGCCCAAGCACTCAGGCCATCCTCCTCTGCCTTCTGAGCTGCATTAGCTGGGAGATGAGTGGAAGTACAGCAGCCAGGACTTGAACAGGCGCCCTTATGGGATGACGAGATGCTGGCATTCCAGGAGGAAGCTTAACCTTCTATACCACAGAGCCGGCCCCTATATAAGTATTCCTGCCAAAGAGAGGCCACACAATGGGATCCGGACATGGCATGTTGTAATCACACATGGTGAAGTGTTTTAATCCTAGCCATCAACACTCACCCTCTAGAGGATATCAGGTAACTTCTTTGAGCCTCAGTTATCTCATTTTTTTTTTTTTAACAGGCAGAGTTAGACAGTGAGAGAGAGACAGAGAGAAAGGTCTTCCTTTGCCGTTGGTTCACTCCCCCAAGTGGCCGCTACAGCCGGTGTGTTGCGGCCAGTGCGCTGTGCTGATCCGAAGCCAGGAGACTGGTGCTTCCTCCTGGTCTCCCATGCGGGTGCAGGGCCCAAGGACCTGGGCCATCCTCCACTGCACTCCTGGGCCACAGTAGAGAGCTGGACTGGAAGAGGAGCTACCGGGAAAGAATCCAGCGCCCCAACCAGGACTAGAACCCGGGGTGCCGGCGCTGCAGGTGGAGGATTAGCCTAGTGAGCCGCAGTGCCGGCCCAGTTATCTCATTTTTAATTATGAAATAACACTTACCTTTCAGGGGTAGTCTTAGGATTAGGTATCATTTATGCAACATGTGTGTCAAAGCATGTAACATATGGTGAGCTCTCAACATATAAAAAACTTAAAATATATTG